TTACTGCCAATGTCCTGTCTAGCCTGTGACCTTGTGCCCTGGCTTCCCAGCTATTGAAAGTAGAAAAGTTAGCGTTCCTGGCTTTTTGAGATCAGTATGTTTTATGACTGTCAATAAAAATCTGTGATCAGATTTTGGTATACTGGAGGGTATGTATAAAATAAATTACTAGCAAAGACTAGGACCACAGTCTGGGGTTAGGTTGACACAGCTCCCTGGGCATAAAGCCCCTATCTCCATCTCACCTCAGCCTTGTCTCACTTGGCAAGTAGCCCTAGCACCTCAGCCTGGAGCCTGAGGTGGATTCCAGCTGGTCTCCTGCCGGGACCACTGGCCTTGCCAGCCTGACAAAGTGCAGTTCCCAGCTCCCCTCAGGCCTCAGGGTGTCCACTTGGGGCTCTGGCCATGTGACCCTAGCCACAGGTGTCAAAGGTACATTCCCACTTGGTTTCAGGCTTCAGGCCACCTTGCCTTGGGCCTTCGGTACCTCTGTCACCTGCCACACCCTGAGGCCTTGGTGGCTCCAGCCCCAACAAGCTCTGTTTACTTCCTTATTTCAACAGACAGACCTATGGAAGCTTCTGGAAGAGCATCTGACTGGTTTGATAGATTAGTCAACTGGCTGCTGAAGCCCAGGTTCTCCTCATGGTTGTCAGCTGGCTTCTGAGCTGGAGTTCTCAGGAACCCTGGCCTCAGTGGCAGATGGCATGAACCCCATGACCGGTTTGTGGCCATCAACAGAGGACATCTAACCCCTTCACGTCTGTTGGCCTGAAAGGGAACCCTAAGGCTCTGGCCCATTGCTCTGGTGGCTTTTATAGTACCCTCATGGCTTTTTCTCTGTCACTTCAGACATGCTCAGAATCCTGAAAGTAGGTGTTCTTCATGTCTCTGGGTCACAGGGACCAGCTGGGTCCTCCTGAAGGAACTAAAAGGTAGCTAACATCTGTTCACACCTCATCGGAATCTAAAGGGTTCCAAGGCTGAGGAATCTTTAGGTCATGAGGTCCCTGACTTCCAGCATCCATTCCTTCAAGCTCTTCTGCCCTCCAAGACCCTAGTAACAAATGCTTTTACCTGTCCTGACAATGTCATAGAATAGGGTATAGAGGTTACCAGTCCTGGAATCAGAGGTCTGTGTACCTCTGGCTGGTTGACCTCACCATGGCCCAGGCACCCTGAATGCAGAGAGAAGTATGTCATGGGGGCTCACAGGCCGCTGACTCTGTACTCCGGGAATAAGAAGTGTACATGTTTCCTCCCTCCGAGGGTACCAGCCTGAGGACCCTCTCTGGGAAGGAACCAGGCCAAGTTCCCAGGTGTGGGCTAGACAGTGACCTAGACAAGGTAGGGCAGCCCCAGTGATAACCTGATAACCCAACTGTCATCTGTTTCCCTCGGAACTCTGTCTCCCCCAATACCCCAGAAGTCACATCAGACCCCAACCACTAGCCTTCCCTAGTTGCTTCTGAATATCCCTACTGTGTCTGCGTGGAGGGAGACTACAGGCCTAGACAATGTGTCCTCCTCTGCCAGCTGGCCCCCTCACTCCTAGGCATGCTGCAGGGTTTTCATCTATCAGAAGAAGCAGCATTTAACCTCCAGCTTATGTTTGCGCGTGCTTTGAATTCTTGTGCCAAAGGATGGAGAGAGATAGAAAGAACAGTCAACCCTTTACCCCATCAGTATTTGGAGGCCTCCCAACACCTCCCCAGCACACACAGTGAGCTAGGCCAGAAATACCACACAGCACAGACAATAGACTTCTCACCTGACGTTAGATGGCCCAGAACTTCTGCCCTTCTTAACTCAGATAAGCAAGGCAGGGCAGTGCCACCAGGATGGGCCTCACCTTAGTCAGGCTCCCCATTTCTCCCTCTAGTAATATAGTGAGGTTCAGACAGAAGTGGAAAATCCAGTGCTGCCATTCAGGCACCCCACATACTCCTTCACAGACACACTGATGTCCCCTGGGGTCACACTAGCACATCCCTAAAACAGGAACCAGAGGCCATAATACCCACTCTGAATAGCAACCATAGGGAACATTATTAAAGTGAGGAGCAAGCCTGGCTAGTACAGGAGAGTCAAGCTCTGCCACTAACTTGTATGATGTCTAGGGCAAACTGTCATCTTTGCAGCCCTCCATCCCCTCATCTCTAGGACTCCATTCGGAAGCCACAGGGTACCTCAGTCCTCACAGCAGAGGTCCAGAGTGGAGACAGACACCCAGAGGCAGTTAACAACCATGCCTGGTGTCCATAACCAAGCACAGGGACTGTAAGAGCATGCCAGCACACTTTGGTTCGTTCCTGCTGTTCCCCCATCGTTATCTGTAACTCCTCTCCCACTCTCAAAAGTGTGCTGATTTGGGTGATATCTTCTGTGGCTGCCCTAAAGACTGTGATACAATAAAATAAGATTTCCCTACCTTCCCCATACTGGGCCTGCCAAAACCTTTGCTGTTTAAGCTAGAGATCCGAGTCTTCAAAGACTATCCCTGATGAGTTGTGGGCTGCCATTGGCAATCCGTGCATTTTTGAGAGCGATGTCTTTGACAGAGATGACTTCCTGCATCATTTTTTGTCTCCCTACTGAAGTGTCACATGAAAATATTCTTTCCCAGCAGCCCTTTGGTGATTGCAAGGAACTTAGATCTCTCTTGATCTCTGGCTGCAAGCTCTATGTACTGGTCCATATCTCCCTTTTCTCTGGGACTGTCAGAAAGCACATGTAAAAACATATAGCTGGACTATAGATATACTGTATGTGTTTATGACGTCACAGTGGTGTTACTTTTCTCCTACCAGTCTTGGCTTCCTGCACCCTTTCCTATTTGTTGTTCTGATTTGCTGTCTTCATTTTCTTATAGCTATTATTCAATCATAAATTATTATAATTGCTTTAAATTCTTTGTAGAATAAAATGTTTTAAAAACACATGGGGCTGGAGAGATGGCTCAGTGGTTCAGAGCACTGGCTACTCTTGCAGAGAACCTGGGTTCAATTCCCAGCACCCACATGGTAGCTAACAACTGTCCTTAACTTCAGTTCCAAGGAAATTCAACGTGCTCCTCATGTGACTTCTGTGGGTACTTCACAACACAGGTGCATTACACACATGAAGGCAATACACATAAAATATTAAAAAATTAAAAAAAAACACAAGAGGGTGGTGGTGCATGCTTTTAATCCCGACACTCAGGAGGGAGAGGCAGGCTGATCACTGTGAGATTGAGGCCAGCTTGGAATGGTCTACATGCCAAGTTCAGGCCAGCTGGGGCTACATAGTATGTCTCAGAAAAAAAGAAAGAAAAGAAAAGAGAAAGAAGGGGTAAACTTACAGGATGTGATTTTTAGAACCAGGGTCTCAGAGCCTGCCACCAAGAAGCAGTCGAGTCTTACAGAAATGTTAGTCTTCTTCAGGAAAGCAGTGTACAAGCTCTTCAAGTCTGTACCGGGTCATGAAGAGAACCTGGGCCAGGAGTCAGTGGCTAGACACAAGAAAAGACAGAAGCACAGAAATCCTAGTCACGCTTGCGAGCCTCACCTTGGGGGACATGGAAGAAAGGTCCTGGGAACAAACTTTGCTTTGAGGCCTGAGTCAGGTGTCAACACTGCCTCTTAGACTCTGGGAACTTGCCAGACACAATGGAATCCCTGTACTCTGGAAGCAGAGGCAGGAGGATTGTGAGTTTGAGGCCAGTCTGGGCTATAGCAAGACCTGGTCTCAAAAAAAAAAAAAAAAAAAACTAACTAAATGCATGCTAGGCATGGTGTCACGTGCCTTTAACCCCACTCAGCACTCAGGAGGCAGAGGCAGGCAGATCTCTGTTAAGACAGAGGCCAGCCTGGTTTACATAGACCCTGTCTAAAAAAATTTTTTTTAATAAAAAACTTAAATGCTAGGGATGTAGCTCCATACTTAAGTACTTGCCTAGCATATGCAAAGCGCTGAGTTTGATACCCAGCACCACTCCCTGAAAAAAGCACTTTGGTAAGCCATTTCTCTCTGTAGGCCTTGGTTTTCTTAGAAAGACTGGGAGGTTGGGTGAGATGAGGTATAGCAACCTCCAGCCCTGAAATTTGACCTGGTGGTCCCTGGAGGGAAGGGCTCTGCAGATGCTTTTGAGCCTAGGGAAGCTGGACTATCCAATATCCAGTTAGACGTGGGAGGACATACACGCCTGAAGTCCACCCAGACCATCTTTGCACCTCCTCTTGGCAAGTACCTCCCTTCTGAGCTACATCTATGGCTTCCCTATGGCACTTAAGGGACAAGAAAAGGCTGCAGAGCTGGAGCCACCTTCCAGAAGCTTCTCCATTTCTTGGGGCGTGTTTGGAGCATTGTGATAGTCACAGGTTCAGTATGAGTTAACCACAGCCTATGGCAATCCTTTGCACCTTTGCCCAGAAACACAAGCTAGGAAGTAGGTTTGCATGGGGGGCTAAAACAAACAAACTAGTGACATCTCTCAAGGACACTCCGATCCAGGGGCAGGGAGACTAATGGAGAACGTATCCTTTGGAAAGCTCATCCCAGTACTCTCAGGCACCCCCCTCTGCCCCTCGCTCACCCAGCACCATCTGCAGAGTCCACATTCACCTCCTCATGCTTCCCTGCTGAGGACAGGAGCAGCTGAGGCGGGATTCACTTTTACCCATTATCTAGATTTGCAGTAGAGGCTTGGCAAGTTCAAGCTCACTGGAAATGGGTCACAGAACAGGGATGGGGGCCCAGACCTCCAGCCCACCCAACCCTCGTGTCCCATAAGGCCACAGCGTCAGAAACACACTGGAGCTCACTGCAAAGGCAGTGAGTACAGGATGGGTAGTGCTTGTGTAGAGGGAAATGGGAGCACTGCCTCCTGCTTGAATGTCTCTCTGGCTAATCTTTCAGGAATCTCAGCCTGCTTCAACCCTGAGTCCCATCACCTTCCCAGCTTGTGGACAGTCTCAGTAACTCTGTCCTCTGTTGTGTGTGTGCTTTTTGTCCCGTAGAACACCGCGATTTTTCCTCTGAGGCTGCTAATCTCCAACACGGAACTCAAGGGGAGAAGAGGCCAGGACAGAGCCACCCCAGCATCCAGTGTGGCATCTCTCAAGCCAGAACCAGGGATGACTGGGCCATGGAAACAGATGTCTCCAACCTTCACCTGTTCACATAGCACACAGGGGACTCGTGGGGGCCACTTGCCACTGCCAATCAAACACACCCAATGGCAATACTGAAATCCTTCATGCCGTTTTCTCGACAGACATTCAGGCAGAAAGTGCAGGTGTGCTTTCTGTCTGCAGAGTAGAGGGCCATGCCCCACCAGTATGAACAGCGTGGGCCCTGGGACCTGCTCTGAGTCCACTTGCAGCCACTGATACTTGCAAAAAACAAAAACAAAACAAAACACAAACAAATCCCAAAGCCATCGTGGGTTTGGCTTCCACAGCTCTTGACCGATGTGGCCAAAGCTGGACACCTCGGGACACTTGGATTATTCATAAATGCAGGCTGCCCCCACCCTCGCTGAGTAGCATCCGAAGTCTCATCAAGGTCATGGATCCTGAACAAAGTATCCAGGGCACCAAAAAGGCTGAGGGAAGTCCCCGGAAGCGGCTGACCAAAGGAGAGGCCATTCAGACCAGTGTTTCCTCCAGTGCCCCATACCCAAGCAGTGGCACCGCCACTGCCCCTGCAGAGAGCGCCCCCCAGGAGCTCCTAGCCCCGCAGCCCTTCCCAGGCCCCTCAGTGGTTCTTAGGGAAGGCTCTCAGGAGAAAACCGGCCCTCAACAGAAGCCCCCTCAGAGGCCCTCCATCGAGGCCTCAGTCCACATCTCGCAGCTTCAGCAGCACCCTCTGACACCAGCATTCATGGCGCCCGGCAAACCCGAGCATCTCCTAGAGGGGTCCACATGGCAGCTGGTCGACCCCATGAGACCTGGTCCCTCAGGATCATTCGTGGCCCCTGGGCTCCATCCACAGAGCCAGCTCCTCCCATCCCACACCTCTGTCCTTCCCCCTGAGGACCTGCCTGGTATCCCTAAGGTCTTCGTGCCCCGTCCCTCACAGGTGTCTCTGAAGCCTGCAGAAGAGGCACACAAGAAGGAACGAAAGCCGCAGAAGCCGGGGAAATATATTTGCCAGTATTGCAGCCGGCCCTGCGCTAAGCCCAGCGTGCTCCAGAAGCACATTCGCTCACACACAGGTGAGAGGCCCTACCCCTGTGGCCCCTGTGGCTTCTCCTTCAAGACCAAGAGTAACCTCTACAAGCACAGGAAGTCCCATGCTCACCGCATCAAAGCAGGCTTGGCCTCCGGCGTGGGGGGTGAGATGTACCCCCCAGGGCTGGAGATGGAGAGAATCCCTGGGGAAGAGTTTGAGGAGCCCACCGAGGGAGAAAGCACAGACTCCGAAGAGGAAACTGGTGCCACATCAGGTGCCCCAGCAGAGGCTCCACCAAGGCCTAAACACCCCCTCCTGTCCAGCGGCTTGTACAGCTCTGGGAGCCACAGCTCCAGCCATGAACGCTGCTCCCTGTCCCAGTCAAGCACTGCGCCATCACTCGAGGACCCCACCCCATTTGCAGAACCCTCATCAGAGCATCCCCTGAGCCATAAACCGGAAGACACACACACAATTAAGCAGAAGCTGGCACTCCGCCTGAGTGAGAGGAAGAAAGTGATCGAGGAGCAGGCATTCCTGAGCCCAGGGAGCAAAGGCAGTACTGAGTCTGGGTATTTCTCACGCTCTGAGAGTGCTGAGCAGCAGGTCAGCCCCCCCAACACCAATGCCAAGTCCTATGCTGAGATCATCTTTGGCAAGTGCGGGCGCATCGGACAGCGCACGTCAATGCTTACATCCACCTCCACTCAGCCCCTACTTCCCCTGTCTGCTGAAGATAAGCCCAGCCTGGTGCCTTTGTCTGTGCCCCGGACCCAGGTGATAGAACACATCACCAAGCTCATCACCATCAATGAGGCTGTGGTAGACACCAGTGAGATCGACAGTGTGAAGCCCAGAAGGAGCTCTCTGACCAGACGCAGCAGTGTGGAGTCCCCCAAATCCAGCCTCTACCGGGAGCCACTATCATCTCACACAGAGAAGACAAAGCTGGAACAATCACTGCTGAGCCTCCAGCACCCACCCAGCTCCACCCCCCCTGTGCCTCTCCTGAGAAGCCACTCAATGCCTTCTGCCACCTGCACCATCAGCACCCCCCACCACACCTTCCGGAGTAGCTACTCCTTCGATGACCACATTGCTGACCCTGAGGCCCCAAGCCGCAGCAGTCCGGTGTTTACCTCCCACCCGAGGATGCTGAAACGCCAGCCTGCCATTGAACTACCTTTGGGAGGTGAGTACAGTTCTGAGGAGCCTGGACCAAGCAGCAAAGACCCCACCTCCAAGCCCTCTGAAGAACCAGAACCCAAGGAAAGTGACCCTACCAAAAAGATCAAGAAGGGATTGAAGATGAAAGGTGTGATCTATGAATGTACCATCTGTGGTGCTCGGTACAAAAAGAGGGATAATTACGAAGCTCACAAGAAGTACTACTGCTCGGAGCTCCAGATCACAAAGCTCCATTCTGCAAGTGTTCCTGAAGGGGAAAAGACAATCGCAGAGCCTGAACCCTGGTCCCAAATGATGCATTATAAACTGGGGGCCACCTTGGAACTCACTCCACTGAGGAAGAGGAGAAAAGAAAAGAGCCTTGGGGATGAGGAGGAACCACCTGCCTTTGGTAGCCCCGAGCCATCAGATGCTGCTCGTAACCTTCCAAGCCTGGAGTCCACCAAGTCACCAGCAGAACCAAGCAAATCAGCGCCCTCCTTAGAGGGACCCACAAGCTTCCAGCCAAGGACTCCCAAGCCAGGGGCTGCGTCAGAACCAGGGAAGGAGAGAAGAACAACATCCAAAGAAATTTCCGTCATCCAGCACACCAGCTCCTTTGAGAAATCTGACCCTCTGGAGCAGTCCAGTGGCCTGGAAGGAGAAGATAAGACTCTGGCCCAGTTCTCATCCCTGCTGCCTGCCCCGCATGGACGCTCGGCTCACTCCCTGCAGCCGAGGTTGGTCCGACAGCCCAACATTCAGGTTCCAGAAATCTTGGTGACAGAAGAACCCAACCGGCCTGATACGGAGCCCGAGCCACCCCCAAAAGAGCCTGAGAAGACGGAGGAATTCCAATGGCCCCAGCGCAGCCAGACACTAGCACAGCTCCCAGCGGAGAAGCTGCCACCCAAGAAGAAGCGACTGCGCCTGGCAGAGATGGCACAGTCTTCAGGGGAGTCCAGCTTCGAGTCCTCCCTGCCTCTGTCTCGGAGCCCAAGCCAGGAGAGCAGCATCTCTCTGAGTGGTTCCAGCCGCTCAGCCTCATTCGACAGGGAGGACCATGGGAAAGCTGAGGCCCCCGGGCCCTCATCAGACACACGCTCTAAACCCTTGGGCACCCACATGCTGACTGTCCCCAGCCACCACCCACATACCCGAGAGATGCGAAGGTCAGCCTCAGAACAGAGCCCCAACGTGTCCCATTCCTCACACATGACGGAGACCCGCAGCAAATCCTTTGACTATGGCAGCTTGTCCCCAACAGGCCCCTCTGCAGCAGTTCCCACAGCTCCACCAGCCCCCACCACCCCATCAGAGAGAAGAAAATGCTTTCTGGTGAGACAGGCTTCCCTGAGCAGACCTCCAGAAGTCGAGTTAGAGGCCACCCCCAAGGGAAGACAGGAGAGCAGCGAGGAGTCCTCAGCCAGCAAGCCTTCCACCAAAAGCTCTGTGCCCCAGATCTCAGTGGCCACCACACAAGCTGGGCCATCAGGAAGCAAGAGCCAGGTGCAGGACAGGCCCCCACTGGGGTCTAGCCCACCCTACACAGAAGCCTTGCAGGTGTTCCGACCTCCTGGCACCCAGTTGCCCCTGCAAGAGAAACCATGCCTGCCTCCACCAGTCTCCCTCTTCTCCTTACAGCACCTCTTGCCGCAGGAAGCAGGACAGTCCTCCGAGTTCTTCTCCACGCAGGCCATGGCCAGCCTCCTTTCCTCCCCATATTCCATGCCTCCACTTCCACCTTCTTTGTTCCAAGCTCCACCACTTCCTCTTCAGCCTACTATGCTGCACCCTAGCCAGCTCCATCTTCCTCAGCTCCTGCCTCACCCCACAGGCATCTCCTTCCGGCAACCCCCCTCTTTCCTCCCCATGCCATGCCCTGCCTCCTCAGCCCTCTCCTCTGGATTTTTCCTGCCTCTTCAATCCCAGTTTTCACTGCAGCTCCCTGGTGACATGGAAAGTCACCTGCCACCAATCAAAACCAGCCTGGCCCCTCTGGCAACTGGACCTCCCAGACCTTCCAGCAGCACAGAATACAGCAGTGACATCCAGCTTTCCCTCATGGCTCCCCCAACCACCTCTCCAGCTTCCACATCAGCCTCACCACTGGCCCTGCCCACCTGTCCAGATGCCATGGTGTCACTGGTTGTACCCGTTCGCATTCAGACCCACATGCCATCCTATGGCAATGCAATGTACACCACCTTGTCTCAGATCTTGGTCACTCAGTCACAAGGCAATTTGGCAAGTGTGGCTCTTCCTAAGTGTGAAGATCCCTCCTCCAAAGGGGTGACTGTGTGTGTGGCTGATGTGTATGAAACTGGGCCTGGGCCATCTGGTCTAAGCAAGGAACAAAGCAGAAGTTTCCAGACACCTTATCTGAGAGTGCCTGAAAGGAAAAGCACCTTGCTGTCGTCCGAGGGAGCCCTGAGTCTAGAAGGAAGCTCATCCACAGCCGGGGGAAGCAAGCGTGTCCTCTCCCCAGCTGGAAGCCTTGAACTCACCATGGAAACCCAGCAACAGAAAAGGGTAAAGGAAGAGGAGGCTTCCAAGGCAGATGAGAAACTGGAGCTGGTAAAACCCTGCAGTGTGGTGTTAACTGGTGCTGAGGACAGGAAGAAGACAGAGAAAGTCCATGTGAGCAGCCTGGGCCGGAGCAGGAGGGAGCCAGAAACTGTCTCCAACCTGCCCTCAGATCCATCTGACCCAAAAGAACTTTCTCCCCTCTCTCATCCCACATTGCCCCATGGGACAGCCCCTGGCTCAGAAGCTTTGAAGGAATATGCCCAGTCTTCTAGCAAAGCTCACCGAAGAGGGCTGACTCCACTCAATGTAAAGAAAGAAGATCCTAGGGAACAACCTGACCTCCCTCTCCTGGCACCTCCTAGCTCTTTGCCTCTATTAGATACTTCCCCGAGACCAGCCAAGTTTCAAGAAGGTATGGACTCAAAGAAGGTACTGGAGTTCCCCAGCCTCCACACGACCACTAATGTCAGTTGGTGCTATTTAAACTACATTAAGCCAAATCACATCCAGCATGCAGATAGGAGGTCCTCTGTTTATGCTGGTTGGTGCATAAGTTTGTACAACCCCAACCTTCCAGGGGTTTCCACTAAAGCTGCTTTGTCCCTCCTGAGGTCTAAGCAGAAAGTGAGCAAAGAGACATATACCATGGCCACAGCTCCACATCCTGAAACAGGAAGGCTGGTGCCATCCAGCTCCCGCAAGCCCCGCATGACAGAGGTAAGTTCACTCTTCTTGCCATTGAGTTCCAAAGTTTGTGCTGAGCTTTTAAAGCCACATTGTCTTCATGCTAAGTTTGTAAAATTAAAACCAGCTAAGGGAGCAAGATTTTCTCTCTGGGAATTGAGACTGGTCACCTTATAAGGAAACATGTTCACTGGGTTTGTCAATATGTGCCTAACATAATTGGAATAGATACGTTTCAATAAAGTGATCAATAAAGTGACCCTGCTTTCCCATGAGCTGCTACTGTAAAAATCAAAGGTTCAATCTCAGCAAGGAAAAATGCAGTTCTCCAAAGTCAGAGTTGAGAAACTTGATTGGTGGGAATATCTTCAGCAATTTTAGAACTTTATACTAGTCCTTTCTCATAGAGTTCTCCCTTGCTTCATGAGTCCCTTCCTCCTTTTCTTGTCCCCTGTATCTTCTGTTTTTATTCTCTACTACCACTTAAAAATCATTGTAGTTCCACATTTGATACAAATCACTCCTGAAATAGCCCTTTCTTTTCTTTAAATAGAACTGGGATGCAGTGCCCCTCTTTACCTGTAGGAGGCAGTGTCACTGACAGAGTCTTCTGTGCTATGGGGCAATACCAGGCTCTCACTGTTGCTTGTATTTATTCCTTCATTGCCTCTGACCTATGGCTACATGGGGAGCTGTAAGATGAAGGTTCCCTGCAAATTCAGCAAGTTTCAAAGTCAATTCCAGTTTGCATAAGAAGACACTTTCTGACAGAGACTAGGCTAGCCTGAGGCTACAGGCTATGACCTGTGCTGACCTGGTAGATCAGTTACTTTTCCTTTGCTATAATAAAATACTCTGAAAAAAGCAACTTAATGGAGAAGGAGTTTATTTTGGCTTATAGCTCCAGAAGGATACATACAACCCATCATAGCAGGGAAGACTTGGTGGCAGGAGCAGGAGGCTGGCTGGTCACATTGAGCAGAATGAGCAGAAGTGAGGCCCAGCTATGAAACCTGAAGTGACCCACTTCCTCCAATGAGATTCTACCTCCTAAAGGTTGTACAACATTCCCAAACAGCACTACCAGCTGGTGTGGGGGACCTTTCACATCCAAACCACACCTGGCACTTGTCGAGTGACAAGTGACCTTGTTTGGACCAGGCGGTGTGCTGGGCCCTGGAATGCAGTTACTGCTTACTTTCACCTGTAAGGCAGCATCACTTTCTCCATTCTGTAGAGGAGGGAGCATGGGGTCAGAGTCTAGGAGAGAGCAAGGACGTGGTAAAACCAGAACTTGAACAAGACATGTCTCACTGCAGTTTCTTTTTCTTAATTTAGTTATTTGAGGAAAGAAATCTTAAAAAGAAATTGAAATTTTAAAGATGTTCACTGGTGCCCCTTCCATTCAGATTTGCTTTCACCAATTCTGCACATATTTAAAACTAAACTCCTGTTCTCAATCAGTGAACAGACCTATGCTCTGTAACTCCCTGCATGTTCGTTCCTTCCTTTTATCATGGGATAAATGATGCATCAATTTGCCCTTAGCTCAACTGGATGTTCTTCACAAACTGTTTTCCAAATTTGTTTTCTGGATGTCTTTGTCAGTCCACAGATATCTCTGAGCATGATTTCCGTTTTTTCTATAAACACCATACTGACTGTGGCTACCACCAAAATCCTACTGTAATTATACTCATAATTTTGAGGCACCTACTATGTGCTAGATACTATTCTATACTTAACTTTCATCCTCATAGCCACCTTGAAAATTATGGTACAATATCGCCATTTTACAGTTAAAGATACCAGAGCTCTGAGAGGTTAAGTAACTTGCACAGGGTCACAAAGTAAATGGCAAATACTAAATTCATAACTAGATCTCACTCTTGAGCCCTTTGAAATGGTCTGAGCTGCCATGTCCCTTGATGAGAATTGTACAGGACATTTAAGAAAAAGAGAATTCATCATGTCGCTTTTCTGAAATGAGTTAAAACCGGCAAGCTTTTCCTTGGAAATTGCCTAGTTTGTTCAAAGTCATGTTTCCTGCCAGAAGTGCACAAATATCATACACTTAGTATAACCACATGCTCTACAAGCTGAGGCCTTCCTACAATTATGCCCCACCCCATCCTAGTTAGCATTCTGTTGCTGTGATAAATACCAAAAGCAACTTGGGGAGGAAAGGGTTTATTTCAGCTTACAACTCCCAGGTCACAATCCATTACTGAGGGAAGTCAGGACAAGAACCTAGAAGTAGGAACTGAGGCAGAGACCATGGAGGAACGCCGCTTATTGGCTTGTTCCCTGAGACTTACTCATCAACTTTTCTTTCTTAAAAATATTTTTTATTATTTTTATTTTATGGATATGAGTGTATTGCTTGCATATGTATAAGTGCATCTGTGTTGTACAATGCCCACAGACGTCAGAAGAGGGCAATGGATTTCCCTGGAACTGGAGTTATGGATGGTTGTTTGCCACCATGTGGGTGCTAGGAATTGAACCCAGGTCCTCTCCAAGAGCAGCCAGTGCTCTTAACTGCTGAGCCCCTCATCTACTTGTCTTATAAAACCAGACCCACTTTCCCCAGAATGATACTGTCCACAGTGGGCTGGGTCCTTCCACATCAATTCACAATTAAGAAAATACCTCACAGATATGCCCTCAGGCATATGATGGAGGAAGTTCCTCAGTTGAAGTTCCCTCTTCCCTGGTCACCCTAATTTCTGTCAAGTTGACAAAACTTCCCAGCATAATTGACCCCTTGTCAACTTGGCACATAAACATATCACTGTTCATCCATAACCTCTCCTTTCTTATTTATCCTCATGCTAATATAATACAAAACACAGTACAACTTTAAAAGTATCACAGCCTTAAAAAAAAATTCTAATGCTTGAAAAGCTCAGTATCTCTTTTAAGAGTCCAGTCTCTCAGTTGTGGGCTCCTATAACATCAAAAACAAGTTATATAATTCTTATTTCAAGAGGTAAGAATCAGGTCACTGTTACAATGAAATCAAAGCAAACCCCAAATCCAGCATTGAAAATAGTTCACTGTCTGACATCTGGAACTCACTCAAGATCTTCTGGGCCCCAAAGGGCTTGGGCAGTCCCTCTTCTTCAGCCTGTCATGAACAGCACACACAGTTTATCTCATAGGCTTAGGCCACCTCCACTTAACACCTGCTTCTGTCCTTGATAGACATTTCACAGTTCTGGCATCTCCAGAATACTGGGGTAGCCACTTAACTGAGGTTACACCTTCACCAGTGACCTCTCCTAGCCTCTCACAGTGCCAAGCTCAACTCTATGATCGCTTCAGTTCTTCAGCTTTCATGCCACCAAAACCAGTACCATGTGGGAGACTGTTATAGGTTACCAAGTTCAGCTTCCAACTTGAGATGCAGCTTTGGCCCCTTCTGGACCACAGTTTCTATGTGCTGACCCTAAGGAAATTCTTTCTAGAATATTTCACCTCAATGATGCTAGTTTCTTGTTAATCACACTCCCAGTTAACTAGCATCAGTTATTCCAGTAAAACAAAGGTTTCACTTCAGTGGTGCTGTTCTCTTGTTAACCACAGCTGATTATTCAGCCCCATCTAGGCAGAAATCACAAATTCTTCATTCAAAATATCATATGAATGGACCCAATAGAGTCTTTAAGGGACCCTCAGACTTCCCTCTGAAACTTCACAAGCCCAGGCCTCCTCTATCTCATCATTATCTTCCCAGTTCCCATAATAGCTCATTAAACTCTGAGGTCTCAATGGCTTTTCCGGTTCAAAGCTCCAAAATCCTCCACAATCCTCCTAAAAGACAACATGTCAGAGCCATCACAGCGACACCACTCTTGATACCAGTTTCTCTTCTGGTTTGCTTCTTGTTGCTGTGATAAACACCATGACCAAAAAGCAACCTGGGAAGGAAAGGATTTATTTCATCTTACAACTCCCCATTACAGTTCGTCATTGAGGAAAGTCAGGCAGGAACTCAAGGCAAGAACCTGGAGGCAGGAACAGAAGCAGACACCATGGAGGAATGCTGCTTACTGGCTTGCCCAGTGTGCTCACCTACTTTTCTTATGCAGCCCAGGCCTACCTGCCCAGGAATGGCACCACCCACAGTGGACTGGGTCCTCTTACACTAATTAGCAGCCAAGGAAATGTGCTACAGATGTGCCTACAGGTCAGTCTAATGGAGAAAATTCCTCAAGTGAGGTTCCTTCTTCCCAGGTGGCGCTAGTATGTATCAGGTTGACAAAAACTAACTAGCACAGCCCCTCTCCTTCCCCAGCCCTTCCTTTTCTCTTCTGCTTGCATACCTCCAGTGATGAGAAGCTCACCCCCTCCTGGCATCCAACCCATCTTTGAATGTCCTTTAAGAAAGTTCTTTGGTCCATTGTGCTGACAGTCATCATCATGTGGCTTCTGTCCTCCATCAGCTGTTCTGAAAACATTGTTTGACTTATCTCAATATTTGCAAACTTGGCTTAGCTATCTTCTTGAAGATCTAGGCCAGGTCACATTTGAGTTTAATTATATGTATTTAAACCCTAGAGAAACCACATTTGCAAAAAGTCCATTTTGCAGCCAAATTCCTATCCTTACATTTTTCCTTTTTCTCCCTGGACATCACTCTGACAACCACAGCACTGTCACAACAGAATTAAGAAACAGCACTCGAGGGGCTGGAGAGATGGCTCAGTGGTTAAGAATGCTATCTGTTCTTCCAGAGGACCTAGGTTCAGTTCCTAACACCCACAGAGTAGCTAACAACTGCCCATAACTCTAATTCCAGGGGATCCTATGCCCTCTTCTGACCTCCATGGGCATTGCACTCATGTACATGCAGACAAAACACTAATATACATAAAATATAAAAAAAAATGTTTTTTATATAAAAAGGGGGCTTGGGTGTTGAATTGCCCAGGTGTGAACCCCACTACCTCACTTAGCCATATGTATGACCTTAGGCCAGTTGCTTAACCTTTCTGTGCCTTTGTTTCTTCATCTGTAAAATGGAGGTTGGTAACAACCTAGTTTATAGGGCTCTGGAGATGATTAAATAAACAGTGTACGTGTGCAGTGTTGACCAATGGAGCCACAGTGTGTGTCTTAGCTAAACTGGAGCCCCTACTCAGTTCTAGCACTGTGTTTTCTGGTAAAGAAGTGTTTTGCCACACAAATACACCTCCTCCTGCCTGTCCAGACCTGATATCAGATTATGAAGGAGATGCTGTCCACCTTCCTGTAATGGGCCCACTCCTTGGACTGCAGGCCAGGATAGGAGTGGAGATTGCTTGGGAACTCCCCCAACATGACTCTGTCAGGACAGGAATCTGGGCCTATACCGTTTTCAACCCCTCCCCATTCTGAAAGATTCCATAGGGATCACTGAGTCACAGAACTTGGCTCCTAGGTAAATCTTTAAGGTGATCTAAGCTGGGGCTAGAAAGATTTCAGTGGCTAAGAGCATTTGCTGCGTTTGCAGGAGACCAGAGTTCAGTTCCCAGCATCCATATTTAGGTGGCTGACAGCCTCCTATAACTCCAGCTCCAGGGGATCCCACACCTTCTGTCCTCCACAGGCACCCACATACACAGAAATGTACATACACATAAATAAAAAGAAAAATAAAAAGATGGTCTAAGCCAGGCGTGGTGGTACATTCCTTTAATCCCAGCACTTGGGAGGCAGAGGCAGGTGGATCCCTGTGAGTTCAAGTCCAGCCTGGTCTACATAGTAAGTTCCAGGACAGCTGGGGCTACAGGGAGACCCGGTCACAAAAAGACCAAAAAAAAAAAGATGGTCTAAACCCCCTCTACTTCAAGGCCAGAAAGGTGTTGTAATCTACCCAAGGGCAGCCCAGCCTCCAGTGAGCTATCTGTACTGGAACTCACATCCACTTGTTTCCTAGCCATGTACCCTTTTGCTCCACAGGCCCCAGCTCCATAGTTGTCCCCTCCCCCTGATGTAGGTTTGGAGAAGAGAGTCTCAGGACACTGGAAGGTCCTAGGAAACCCAAAATCAATGCCACAAAGCCAGGTCTCACTGAGGTCTGTCACTTTAAAGAGAACTGGCCCCTGATTCCCACCCTGGGCCAGGCTCTGGGTCCTGTGGGTCAGGGTGGCCTGACTTTTCGACTTCAGTACCTGTTCGCAGAGCAAATCCTGGAAGTGGGAAACCTGTGCTTTGCTTCAGCTCCATCCTTAACCTAGTTAAGGCTGTCTTAGCTTTCTGACCCAACAATGAGAACTCTGGTTAATCTGCAAAGCAGACTCAAGACTTCATTTATTTTTTCAGCATCCCTTTGCAGCCTTTTGAGCCTGTTTGAATGTTGAGGTAACTGAGCACTCACAGACTGGTCCCTGGATGCTCATAGATTAGCACAAAAACACTAAGAGCTGACTTTGTTCCTTGGGGAAAATGAACCTAAGGGGGCGAAGCACAGCTTGGAGGGGACTTTATCTCTTGAGGGAAAGTTCTTGAGTTCATCTGTCTCTTGGGGGCCAGTACTTGAGGCTGTCCAGTGGTGCTGGGTGAAAAATTAGGAGGCCCACATGTACATGTGCAGTGCCATGCAAGGCACGGGACCCAGAATGCAAGTTTAACCAGCCTTGGCTTTGTCCTCCCTATGGTGCACAGGTGCACCTCCCGTCGTTGGTTTCCCCAGAGGGCCAGAATGACCCAGCTAGAGTGGAGAAGGAAGATGAGAAACGAGGGAAGGCAGAGGAGGACACTCCTGCCTCCAAGAGAGCAGAGCCGGCGAGGGTCAAGATCTTCGAAGGAGGGTAAGGCTCATGCTTGGTTTTCAGTTGGCTTCCTGAGTGAAGAGAGCTCCCACTATCTACGTGCAGAGGTGGCCGGTGACTACTGCCTGCATGGTGCTCTCAGGTGCCTGTGGTTTCCACAGTACTTTTCTGTATTGTGGAACTCCCAGGCCACCTGTTTCAGGAACACTGTCCCTTGGTGGGGACATGTGATACTGGGAATTTGCTGTGCATCTGAAGGAGCCAGGGGCTTACTCTAGCTCTGTGTCCACACTGCAGGTTTGCAACCCTGCATTGAGATGATGGAGAGGCCCACAGCTTCTCTCTGGATTACCATTTCCTTTAGTGTGTATTACTTCTCTCCTGCCCAGGCCACCCTGGCCATCCTGTTTCTCATGGGCCTGAGACATCATTGCATATCCCGCTCTTCACACCGATCCCTGTCCTGTCCACTGGCAGGCCTGGGGCTCATTGATTGGGGGCTAATTTGAGCACCTACAGTGCTCATCTTTGGAAACCTGCTAAGTTACAGGTCTCAGGGCTCATCACTCTGGGGACGACCCTGAGCTCTAGAAGGACACTGACTCCGTCATGCTTTGTGGAAGTTCTCTGTGCCCGCTGTGTTCTGTGTGGCCACGTGTTCACTCCCAGGATGTGATGTCTGTGAGCAGATTCTGTGGTATCTGTCTCAGGGTCTTGTGTCTATGTCCCTGTTGTGATCAGGGTGACCCGATCCTACACAGTCCTGAAGACAGCAGTCCCAGTGAGCCTCGACCAACACAGGCTGTCACTGGAGGACTCTCATTCTCTAGCACCTACAAGTAACTAACTCATGGGGTCACTGTGGCAAGTGTGGGAGTCTCTGGAAAGTTAGGGAGAGGAGAACCAAACTGTATGCTCCCCAAGCCACCAGTTGGCATTCTCTGATGATGCTGGCTATAAGGGCTGTGAGGAGCAGGACATGGTTATTACAGTGACTAGTCGGGAAATGATGAACATCTCTGAAACAAGCCCTTTGAAAGAGGTGTTTCTAACAGTGGCTTTCTGCTCCTGCCGTTTGGTTAGAGCGCCCTCGTGTGGCTGTGTACTCTCATACCACCAGGTCCCACACTCCAGGCTGGGTCACTGAACCTAGGAACCATCTCTTTTCCAGAGATTGTCTCTCTGAACTCTGAAGAACTATGTGAAATTTGTTTGTGGCAAGGATTTGTCGCTTTACAGAATTCTGTGTGTGCACAAAGATGCACGCTCCTCCAGAGCAGAGGCAAGGCTCTGAAACCCCTGGCCACCATAACCCTAGGGAAGGCTGAGTTACTAGACAAGCAGCTGGCAGGCGCCTCCCCCTGTCCAACTAGACACCTCCGTCACCAGCTGAAAGATGAATCATCACCTAAGTCCCCTTTCCCCTTCCTAAGCCCTAGCAGTGTCCTCATCATCCCTCGTGCCCCATGCAGAGTGTCACTTTATCCCACCATTTCAGAATCCCCCCCTTTCAAGGACTATCACCCACTCCAATCAGCAGTCCCACGTACTTCTGTCCCACCTTGACCATCCCCCACCTCTCCAATGTCAGTATCCTCCTCTGTGAAGGGGACAGCAACAGACCTGTGGCACTGTCATAGGCCTCATGAGGCCCTAGAAGAGTGTGTTCCAACAATCTCGTCACTTGAGTGCTGGGGGACGTGAAGGGGGGCGGTCACCTGCATCCAGCTCTTTGTCTCCACCTGGGACCTCACTGTGCTTTTAGCTGCAGGAGTTGTCATCCCCACTCTTCGAGCTGGTCACAAGGTGTCAACCATCAGATCCTTCTCACCCTCAGTTTAGTTGTCCCTTCTGAGACTACCCGTGCTGCCTACCATGGATTCTGATGAGCCCTTTTCCTTTGTGGGGCAGGTGTCACTTCTCAGGAGTGTTTGCTGATGAAGGGGTGAGCACTTTGTGTGGTTACATACCTGGGGACACCTCCAGCATCTCATAGGTGGGGCCAGGGATGCTGACCATCCACTCAGGCAACCATGCAGCCATGTAATTTGTCCCACCAAGGGTACACCCACCCAAGAACCCTAAATGTACCCTTGAGCCCACCTCCCTTGGTCACACCAAGGTTTCATCCTAGCCTCAGTTCTCTTCCTTTTTTAACACTTTCGGCATCTCTTTTTCACTGCAGTACATACTGGATAAGGTTCTGCAACAGGGCCTGTCCACTGGGTCCAGCAAAGGATTCAGGCCACTGGGACTCAGAGAGGAAATGGGGCAGAACAATGCAAGCTTCTAATGCATCCTCCCAGGCCCTGGGCTTGTGTCCATTGAACACACAGAATCGCATGGCCTAAGTCCTTGGAGTGGGAAGAGACAATCCCAATCACACCTGTGCATGGGAGAACCTGAAGCATTCAGTAGTTCCCACTGATGGAACTGCAGTCTGTTTTCTGTCTGTCTGCAACTGGCTAGTTCTCCATGGTGTCCACGCTGGTGCCTACTGAGCCTGGTCACATGAAAGGCACAAAAGAGCAGGTGTTGTATATGTGTCCCGCTCCCTCAAGTCTTTCTATCACTGGCCACATTCTCCTTATTCTTTCTCTGACCCTCAGTCCGGCAGTCAATCCATCATGGAGGAGCAATTTAATCAGTGCCTTGTGAGTGCTTTGGGCTGGACATGTCAGTGACGCAAATAATAGCAGACTGTCATTTAGTCCTCAAGGTGCTTGGGGACCACACCAAGGCAGCACTACAAACCCCAGTGCTGAAGCGGGAACCATTAGGGCTGAGGAGGTCATGGCAGAGCAGTTCGTCTGGGGCTAGAGAAGCCAGAGAGGTCTTCCAGGGCTGCAGGACCGAGCCTGGAGCTGTGGTGTGACAGACAGCTGATACACGAGGTAGGATGATCAGTAGTCTTCACATGACCAACGGGGCTCTTTCCTTCTTGTTCAGTGTGTCTCCCTTGCCTGTATCATCTACTCTTTGGCTTTGAACTTCATCACTGTTGAGGATGAAACAGCTGGGTCAGCAGCTGGGTCCTCATTCCTGAACCCCAGACCTTTGCTTTGGACGTCTCTGGTATGTTTGCCTAGAAGAACCATAGCTCTTTGATCTCAGCACATGCCAAGCAGGTCTCCTGCTTCCCACCCACAGCATCTCCTCCCACATGCAAATCTCAAATGATACAACCAACCCTTCACCCTCATACCTCAACATCATCTCAGACACCTTCTCCCCCACTTCCAGTCAGCCCCCAAATTCTGGTGTCTGTGTGGAGTAGGCAAGGCTCAGCATGGCCACCCTTCTCCCTGTGCCACTCCCAGCCTCCAGTATCAGTACCATTGAGTAGCTCCACATGGTTCTGCCCGTGTAGCCTTCTGTGGTTCTTACCTGCAGAATCCCATTTAAACAGCCTGGGATTTCTGCCATGCCTTCTAACCTGCCCCAGTTGTATTTTACCTTCAGCTGCCACCCAGCCTTCAAAGGCTAGCACTAGCTCCCTCTGGACCCTTTGAGATTCCTGCCTCCACACACTGTAGTTCTGTCATGATACTGGAATCTCCCTCAAGGCCCTTCTTGACTGGGTCCTAGAGCAATGCTTTGTACAGTGTCAGTCCCTGTGGATGGCCCTGACTTCTAAGCCCTTGGTTCCCTCTCTGTGTTCCCTGTCACTTCCACACCTGAACAAAGCCTGCCTTTTCCAAGCAGCATCTGGGAGCACCCAAGGGCACTGTGTTGGCTCACACCCAGTGCCCTGCATTTGCCCTGATGGTGTGGAAGAGTTCTTTCTGTGAAGCAGTGTTTTCACACATAGAGTTATATTGTTCCTTGACTGTAATGACTACATTGTCCGAACTCAAGTTCCTTGGCTGCAAGGGAAGCTGGGAACTCAGCCCCGTGGCTGGCATTAGAAGAAGCTCTCTGGATGGACAGGAAGTACCTAGCTGCTAGCAGTGGCTGTCCATGTGCTGTCCACGCACCGTCTGGGTGGCTGTGTGCACTGAGCTCTGAGGTACTAAGGAGTGGAATTAGGGGCAGGAAGGTCCTCAGAGAGCTGGCCATGGACAGGGCAGTGAGCCCAGCCTGGGACTAGAGTACAGGGAGGAGGTACCCAATCCTGCTGTCAGCTGGGCCTGTAGGGGTAGAGTAGTGAGATGTGTAGTTATGCCTCTCATGCTGGCCTGTGTCAGAAGGACACAGCTGCTTCTCTGAGGGAAGAGCCTTTTGCCCCAGGAAGGGTGCCTCCTCCCAGCCCAGCAGAACCTCATTCCATTCAAATGAGCCCTCCTAAACTTGTTTCTACTTCAAAAACACTCCTTTTGACCAACAGAGTTTTTTAGTGCTTTACAAAAAACTCCCGGAGAAGTTGACTTTGGTTTACCTCTATGTGTCTCCCCTTCCTGCCCAGTCCTGTTCCAGGTGGCCTGGGGCTTCACCTACCTTAGCAATTGCTTTGTCAAAGTCAGCAGTGACCTGCACCTGGCAGAGGTCAGGTCATTCATTCTTAGTCTTTCCTGACCTTCAGCAGCATTGGACACAGCTGTGCTTCCTCCACCTGGTGACCAGGACTCTGTCTGCCTTAATTATTCTTCCTCTTTCATAGCTGGCTAAACTTTCTCATGTCTTTGGAAGTTCCCATCCTCTCCTGATCTCTAAGCATCAGAGCCCTAAAGGCCCCTCTATCTCCCTCCCCTCCTCTAAACCCCACCCTGCTCCTAACGCCTCCTCTCTTCTAAGCCCCTCCCCTTCTTTAAGCTCCTCCCTCCTCTGTTCCCTCCCAAGGTGCTTCGTCCACCACCCATAGTCTGTGAACTCTCCTGCTCCCATCTCCGTATATCCAGTATATGTTATGACAGTCCACCCACCGAACACCCAATGGGCCCATTTTATTCCCTGGCCTGATGGATGTTCAGTTATCACCTGGAGACTCTAACATTGATCACAGGAATTATTCAAAGGCTCACTTCGTTCAGTAGAGTTTCACTTACAGGGACCTTATTTTTAACAGTTGAACTTTTCTGTCTGGTGTATCTTTATTTCTT